TGACTTACAGTTATGGATTAATGTTTCAGGTACATTAGATGATTGTGGAGGGTGAAGGGGTGACTATACACACATCAATAACTTTCGTATTTTGTGATTCCACATTAATGACCATACTCTGATTTTTGGGATGTAAACTTTTGGAACAAATGATTTTATAATATTACTTTATGAAAATGGATCCTTTTACTTAAGATTAAAAACGAAAGTTTTTCCTTGAAAAAATGGGACGTTACATCACCCCGCGTAGTTAACCAAGATCAGTGGATAATTTATCGAAGTTACGCAGTTCGAGTAGATTTTAGGTATGGACTTATGCAGTACATGTAAATCCATGCCACCTATTTTGTTGGGTATTTTCTCCTTACACGTAGTCTGAGTGATGGTTTGCATTAAGTACTCAACCCCAATAACATTCTATCCCGTTCTCATCTTTGGCATAACTTTTACATAGGGATGAGCATAACCGGGTACCCGCCTATTTTAACTAGAATCGGAACCGCTCCCGGAACCGGCGGTTCTTAAGTTATTAGAACCGGAACCGGAACCGCCTACATCGGTTCCTAGAAAATTGAAACTGATCCCGGAACCGCCGGAACCGGTTCCGGTTCCGGGTACCCGGTTTCTTAAATATAAAATTTTTTATTTATAAATTATAGATTACATGGCATGTATATTAACGTTTACAAACATCCGAATTAGAAATGGTATGAAAATAAAACAATTATAAAAACTTGATCTTTTACATAACCACCTATTAAACTTTAGAAACACTTCTCACAATTAAAAAAAATCATAAAAAACAATTGCCATCAAGTGAAATTTAACAAGTAGAGATGACAAAAATGACAAATTACGAACAATAAACATAAAACAGCAACAGGAAAAACAACACATCAAAAACATCATAGCCTTGAATTGGATCCATTGATCTTATCAGCTCATCTGTCGAGAACGGTATACTGCATGGATATAACATAAGATTTAGTATGTGATTGTTAAGATTCCTGTAAAGGTATATAGAAGAACACCATCAGAAGTTAACTAAAATGGTAATCCATTCAAGATTTATCAATCATATACCGATATAAACCCTAAAAAATACTTGACTGTTTGTGTTAGTTAAATCAATTAAAACTAAACAGATATAACATAAGATTTAGTATGTGATTCGCAAATCTTTTTGTTGAGGTTACAATTTCTCATAGATTGGATCGATTCACCTGCCAACCAGTTTCATCATCATGCATTGGAGACTTGGATAATCAACCGTATGTTGATTCGGTAGAGCCTGCAGACATCAAACATATTTAATTTGCGATTAGGAGTGAATCAAGATTCAAAAATGGAAATTAACAAAAAAACAAAAAAATTAACAGATGGAAATCGAGATTTAACCTAAAGAATCGACTAATTAACAAAAAAATCGAAACTAACAGTCTAATAATCTAATCGAGATTCACAGATGGAGGTTGAATAACCTAAGAAATCGATAATCGAGATATCCAATTTCACAGTCAACATATACAATCATATTTTAGAGTTACGATTGAGAATCTGACCTTGAAGATGAGGGAGGCGATGAAGACGAGGGAGAGCGTAAGTACGGATGATCGGAGCGACGTGGTTACCTTGAAGTGTCGACTGACGTGCCGATTGAGAGACAGAGAGACGAGGGAGACGAGTGAATTTCAAGTCCTGGAACAGATTGAAGTGCCGACTGAAGCTTCGATTGAAGCTTTGATATTGCAGTGCAGACTGAAGCTTCGATTGAAGCTTGGATTGAATAGAACGATGACTGGAGTCCGGAGCGATTGAAGCTTCGATTAACTGAAGGATGGGTTTGAGAGGGGAGAGAGGAAAGTGACGAGAAGAGAAGACGACGTTTTTTTTGGAATGAAAATCTTAAACCCTAAAAACGAATCAGACTAAGGTAATCGGTATAAGTTCTTTACCCTAATTTTTTAAAACAAATGCACCAAAATATAAAAATTAAATATTTTTTTTATAAAAAGGCGGGTACCCTTCGGTACCGGTTCCGGGTAACCGCCGGTTCCGGGTACCCGGTATTGGAACCGGAACCGGCGGTTATCCAGCGGGTAGCGGTTTCGTAAAAATGAGAATTGGAACCGGAACCGCTTAAGGCGGTTCCTAGACTTTAGGAACCGGAACCGGAACCGCCTAAGGCAGTTCCAGTTCCAGAACCGGCAGTTCCGAGGCAGTTCCGGTTCCGAAAGCAGGTACCCGCTTCCGCTGCTCATCCCTACTTTTACATCTAAGGTCTAATTGGATTGATTATTTTTTTACTTCAACTTCCTCGTTGTCTTACCTATATATATATATATATATATATATATATATATATATATATATATATATATATATATATTTAAATTATACACCAATTATATGTTTTCATGGTATCTTCCATGTATTACCTTGTACACCTTGAATATTTCAAAAGTTACAAGTATATGTTATTCAAAAACTCATATCTTTAAGGTCTATAAGCTTTTCCATACTTTACACATCCTTAATTTGATGTTTCAAACCAATACTCCATTATCATAGCTTGTTTCCACATGTTTCTATCCATTTTTTGTTTTGTCCTACAATTTCACTAAATAACGATGTACTTTGGATTTTTACCCAATCATTCTCATGTATTCATGTTTCATTACCTTCTTAATACATGTTATGACATGTATAAACATATTTATTGTATTTTTAAACATATAAGGTATGATAAATGGAAATACCTTAATAAATATACTTTTGTCCCACTTGCATAATACCAATATATTTTGTTTCTTTTACCATTTCTTATGGAATTACATGTTCCTTTACACTCTCTTCATTCCAAAATATATTATGACATGATCAATCATATATTCTACAATAATTTCACATAGCTTAGCACCATTTATCAGTTTTATTTCTATTTTACTTGATTTTTTAATAATTGTTGCATATAACTAACTTTTATATATATATATATATATATATATATATATATATATATATATATATATATATATAAAAGTTTCTAATGTGCTTACTACATAATATGAATATATAAGTGAATCATATCATTTGTTTACATTCTTATACCTTAAATATATAAGGTTTCATTTTTGTCCCTCTTTGTATATAATAACATTATACTTTGTTTTTTTAACTAAATTCTTGTGTTATCTACTACTGTAATACATAATATAACTTTTATTTTAGCTTTAAATACTTTTCCAACTCATATATCCATGGTTCATAAGCACTTTCACATCTTTATCTTTTTTGTCCCTTAATTTTAGGATATAACAACATACTTTGCATGTTTTCCGATTTTCATAATCACCCATTTCTTTGTCTTTCCTAACTATGGCATATTATGACTTTTTAAACATAATTCTCATTTTCACTGGTGTTTAAAGCATATTTCACCATTGTTCACCGAATCGTCCTTAATTCATAAGTTTCAAGCGCTTTAACCTTTCAAAGATATCTCATGAAATTTCATCCTTATATTTGCTATTTACACAAGTGACGTTATAAATACATACCCTTTAATAAGATTTTGTTCTCGAAATCTCATTAAAATCTACTAATATAAATATCCCCCCCCCCCCCCCCCCCCCCCTTTTTGAGCTATAATTAGGATCTCAATTGTGTTCTTTATTCTCGTACATTGTATTTACCTTACAAATAATGTATTTATTTCAAGAAAAAAAATAAGTGATTAAATTAAAGCCTTAGTTTTTTGAGGTTTTTTAACATGTGACATAAGAACAGAAATAAAAAACATTAATTATGAGAAACATTATTATATATATATTAAAGTTATGAAAGATTTTAACAAGTAAAATGACACTTTTTTTTTGTAAATTTTGGTCCTCCAACTTACAACATTGACCCTTCATCTTTATGCTTTTGTTCACAAACAACCCTTTCACTTTGGTTTGAATGTTTCATAACCCTCGCCTTTTATTACATATTATTAGTATTGAGTCTTTTGGCAGAAATGATCCCTCATCATTATTATTAGACAAAATTACACGATTGGTCCCTATGGTTTACCAGATTTAACATTCTCTTTTTGGTTTTAAGTTAATGTTTTATTTATTAGAATATACCCACCCAATACCATAAACCCACCCACCATCTGCCATCACCACCACCGCCAAAATTACATAAATGATCCATATGGTTTACCCATGGTGACAAATTCAGTCCCTACTACCTGAAAAGACCAAATTACCCTCATATTAACGGACAAAAAGCAACCAACATGCTACTTTACTTTACAAAACAATAGCTTCCGACCCGGCAATGCCGGAGAATCTTTTCTAGTTACTATTAATGTGACATATATTAATTATAATAATATGTTCTCATGAAATACATTAATTATGGAAAACAATCATCTTGTAATTAATAAATATCACATTTAGTTATGATAAATTTTTTTATAATTAATATTTAATATTTTTTATATGTGTGTTTAGTACACATGTTTAGAATTCTTTTTTTTTTTTTGGAACATTACAACTTTAAAATACAATTATTCAGTTTTTTTTGGAACTTTAAAACTTTAAAATACAATTAAATAAAATTAGCAACAATCCGACATGGACTGTTTTGAAAATATAACAGTTTTATAAGATTTGTGACCGAACTTTTATACCGTAGGTGATGGATGTATATACTTAATTCTTAATTGATGTTGTAAAATAAACAATTGAAATCTATTTAATATTTCAAAATTTTTGTAAATTAAACAATTGAACTTAATTGAAATCTATTTACTCTTTCAAAATTAATTCTGATTTAGATATCTTGAATAAAATGAACTAATACTTTGACTTAGATCGATATGGAAATAGGCATCTACCCTTCTAAATACTGAAAACCGCCAACTTAAAGAGCCTCAACCCTAGCAACCCCCACTTCACTCTTTTTCCGTCTCTCAAACCCTTCAAACCCCACTAAACCAGGCCACCACCATGAAGAAGCTCTACAGAAAAAGCACAGTCCACCCATCGCCGCCACTCATTTCGGACCACCTTGCTCTTTTGCCGGCAGCCATCTTCACTCTCACGGTGGCTCTCTCCCAAGAAGATAAAGAAGTCCTGGCTTACCTCGTTTCCTCTACTAATTTCTCCACGGCCAGAAAAACCACCACCGCCACCTGCAAATCCTCCTCCTCCACCGCCGACCACCCACCTCTCTTCAACTGCAGCTGTTTCCGGTGTTACATGAGTTACTGGGTACGGTGGGATTCATCACCTAATCGGCAACTCATCCACGAAATTATCGATGCTTTCGAAGATGGATTGGTTCGAAACAAGAGAGAGAAAAGCAAGAAAGATAGAAAAAAGAAATATAATAGTAGTAATAGTAGCAATGAAGAAACCACTACACCTGAGTCGACTGAGTTAACTCAGTCTCCGGAGCTGAGTCCGGTAACTTTAAACGAGTCGGAATCGGTGGGGGACTGTGAAGAAGGGTCTGTGAGGAAGCTGGTGAATTTTCTTGGAGAACGAATTTGGAGTGTTTGGACATGAGGGGTAAAACTGTCAATTTAGCCAAAGAAGGTTGGTTTAAGGTGTTCACTTTACCACTACTACTTTCTTGAAATTACTCATTGGTCCTTTTTAATTTTGGTCTGTAAAATATTACCCTTTTTTTTTTCAATCTGAAAAAGTGGTAGTTTATTTATTTATTTATATTTCATGTTTTATGCTCCATATTGTTAATTTGCTCATAAAATCTGTAATTCAAAATGAATAATCAATAAATTCCCACAAAGAAAACTATGATTTACAAAATTAGCAACCAAAAATTAGATTGTAATTTCAAATAGTATGGGAACATTTTAGAATTTTCAACAATGCACTTTGGAGCTACATTTACCCTTCTTTCAACTATCATGGCGTTTTAAAGATTATAATATAGTTGAAATAACGATTTATAAAGTTTCAGTGAATAATTACTATATAATAAAATCTCCTGTTATTTTTTGTTATGGGATTTTCTAATATGTGCCCTAAGGGCACATATAAGAAGCATTAATTATAAAAAATATTACCATAATTAAATTCGAAATACATTTATGGGATTTTCTAATATGTGCTGGCACATATAAGAAGTATTAATTATGAAAAATATTACCATAATTAAATTCAAAATATATTTATTATGGTAATTATTAATGCATTTCATATTTAATTATTGTAATATTCCTTATAATTAATGTATTTTATATTTAATTATAATAATATTTGTCATTAATTAATGCTTCTTATATGTGTCCTTAGGGCACATATTAAAAAATCCCTACATTTATTATGGAGATTATTAATGCACTTCACATTTAATTATGGTAATATTTTTTATAATTAATGTATTTTATAATTAATTATGGTAATATATATCATCAATTAATACTTCTTATATGTACCTTAGAGCACATATTAGCAAATCCTTTTTGTTATTTGGCTGTTAAAAATAAATTTGAATTCAAAGCTTGTTATTTTTAATGATGTATTTACTGGAATAGCGAGCGTTTTTTCGGGGGAAGCGATAATGTTGCTACATTAGGTACAATTTTTATCGCATGTCTTACATGTGTTGAAGCTTGGCCATTCATTCAAAAGGTTCTTGTACCCTTGGGATGCTCACTAGGAGAGTTGATTGGGACTTGCAATTTTTTATTTTGGTTTTTTTTTCCAATATTTAAATTAAAAAAATACCAACAATCATTCATCACATATTCTCTACTTTTGACAAAAAAAAAAAAAAAAAACTCATTTAATTTGTAATCCAAAGTTTTTGTTTGGATGTAAGTTTTAGATATGATTTGATGTGGTATTAATATTTAGTATTTTGTAGGGCATCATTTCTGGATGTGCTGTTATTGCATTAAGTTATGATGATTAGATGGTTAGTCACTTAGTTGTGTTAGTATTATGGAAAATTTTGATTACAGGAAACTAATAAACAGAATGATAATTTAAGGATATTCACAGTTTGATTAATATCTGGTTTAACCACCATTCTTTTTCTTCTTAAAAAATCATCCATTACTTTAAAAAAATTTAATCACCGACCATTATTATATATGCTGTCGTTTTTTTTAATCTTAAAAAACCATCCATATTTACAAAAAAAAATCATTATGACTATTGTTCGTTTTTTTTATAAATATCTAGGACTTATTTTATATTAACAAAAACTGAATATATCAATTTTTATATTTTTTTTCTTCTAAAAACAATCATCTATATTAGTAAACTATTTTCTTTTTCAAAATTTGAGTTTGTTGACATTCACATGCGAATAAATATTTAGATTTTTATTTATTTATTTATTTATTTTTTATACCTATGTATCATACCACATAACATTGATGTCTGAAAAGTTAAATTCTTTTGGTTAAAAACATGTTTCAATATCTTGTGGCCTGTAATGATTTGGAATTTTACCCTATGCAAGTGTGAAAATTGGTTCCAACCAATTTCAAAAATATATTTTTTCCCTCATTTTTAGCACGATCTCCGACCCCTAAACATTATTAAATGGACAAATGGTTATATTTTTATGTTTTTCTCTATGATACATTCATATTGGTATAAAACTTGTCCAAAATGGATTTAAAATGAATAATAAAGTTTATGTTAAAGTAAGCTGTTAGGAAGAAGTTAACAATATAGTTAATATGTTTTTAGTTCATCCCACATGAGTATGAAAAGGTAGTAGTTTTCTAAGTACAAAGACTTTTAACATTGTAAGTCTTATAATACAAAAGGCTCTCTTTTGCTCGTTAGTTAGGTTCATTGAACTTATGTGCGTCTTGCAGACACGAATGCACCGCCAGTTGACTAGAAAAGTTTAGAGACATTTTTGTAATTTTTTTTCGTAACAGAAAATTAATTAAGATCTCAGTTACTAAACCTACATTTAATTCAAATTTCAATTTTGATTTGTGTTTGTACTCTGTCCGTTACACATTTATGTGTGGCTTGACAGTCACGATTCTGACTATATAAATACCGCCCTTCGAGACCAAATTAGACACACTAAATGAAACATTCTCTTGCACTTTTTCAAATTTGCATCTAATTCTTTTTGTTACAGCCAAGGTAAATTCCGACCTAGTGAGGGTTTTGAAGATCTAGAAGAATCGCTTTATGTTGTTGTATAATGGGAAAATATCCAGTAACGAATGAATTTGTTTTAAAGACATTGTGTTAAATACATGCCTGAGCGACACTTTTTTTTTGTTGTTCTTTCGTGCATTCCCATTATACATTGCTAACAAGTAGGATCAATGCTCTACATACCAACTCCTTCATTTATGTAAATACTTCTATTGTTAGTATGCACATTGGACATTTTATGACATAATCTTCAATCACCATGTGATTTAAAATGTAATTACTAAGCCAAAATTCACATGTAGAGAATTTATCGTATAATTTATCATTTGAAAAGTTTTAATAATAGCTTCAAATACCTATATGTTTGTTTATTTATAAATAACAAAAATTATTAATTTTGATGTATTCTGTTTTTTTATAAAAAAACATAAGCCCTAAAAAACAAAAGAAAAAAAAAAGTAAAAAATAAGAATGGTCGCGATTATTATTATTGTTATTGTTATTATTATTATTATTTGTAGATATGAGTGATTTTTTAGAATAAAAGAAACCTGCAAAATTAGCAAAACTGACAATAACAAATATTTGTGAGTGCGATGATTTTTTTTGAAATATCAACAGTTATTTAGAAAAAAATATGATGGTTAAGCATAATATTATTGGTCAAATTACAATGGCTTTTATGTGATCATATTGACCAAAATATAATTTGAAACCACATGTTTCAGTGGTATCAAAATTTATATTATTATTCATGGGTTTCACTTAAGAACGTCATATGTACAGTGTATAAGACTAGAGAAAAAATGTTAACCAGATTTTTAATTAACAAAGAGAATTCTAAATTAAAACAAAGGGGCATCTAAAGATAATTCTAAATTCTAAATAACTATTTCTGACAACGTTATCCCTGGTGCTTTGGAGCATATTCATAGAGGTCAGAATTTGGGTCAAGTGAAATTGCTTGATGCAATTTTAAAATTTACCCTATTCCTATGTCGTTGCTCCTGTAGTCGCCCTTATATTGATCATGTTACTATCGGTTTGGTGGGTGTTGAAGATTGTTATAGTTTTCTGGATTGAAACTGTTCCCCTCACCTGATTTTAATCGTTTGTTCTCGTTTTAGTGATTTATGTATTAGTTGGGTTTGCATTTTCGCTTTTATCTCTTAATTATGTAATTTAGTCTACTTGCCGTTCAAAAAAAAAAAAAAAAAAAAAACAATTGGGCATCTGTTTAAAAAAAACAAAAAAAAAAACAAACAAAGGGGCATCCACTTTACCTAGACAAATTGCGTAAATCCCTATAACTTTTGACATGCGACTTGGAAACCCAAGTATTTGTGTATTGGACATATTTTTAGTATTTGGACTAAATTGCCCTTGGACTTCAAAATACTAGGGCTCTTCTCTTTGTAATAATGGAGGTGACACCGGTAACGAGGCGACCAAAAGCAAAGAGAGAGTGAAGGACCGAAGGTTATGGTTTTATAAGATTATCCCCTTTGAGCATCTTTTCGTACGGTTTCAGTCCATTGACTTTATAATATTGCTATTTATCAAGGTTATAATGTTTTTTAAGATATTGATATGGATATCTTAATAATCGAATAGGTATTACATATTAACCACATAAGTTCAAAAATTGCAAAATAATTGTGGTATTCAAAATTTGATAATTTCAGAGAGCTAAAAGTGAAAAATATTAATTTCCGAAATAAACTGATAACCTAAAGTATTTTGAAATTTTCAAACAAATATAAACTTTTCGAATATACAAATATGAAAATACATTTTTTAAATAGGTATATCTTCTTTGAAATTTCAAAAAAAAGATTTATCAATTGCCTAAGGACAATGTTCTAGAAAACACATTCTTGAAACCTAAAGAAAACCGAAAATGGATCTCGCATGCCAAATATTTAGAGATGCTCTGCATACTAGAGGAACATGACAAAGAAGAAATGATATTATGGAATACATACATTGGAATGGAGTGAATATAATTTAAATTTGCTATCACATACTGTATAACATATGTTGATTTGGTTCGAGTTTTGGTTAGCAAAGTTAACGTAGCAGAAACACAGATAAAGTTATATCACAACCTCATGGAATTCATAATCTAATCGAGATAATTGATGATAGAGACATGAGACACCTTGTGGGTGTTGCACTTTCTTTGTTTATAAGCATGACAACTTTTTCTTTAGTTGTTACTGTTGTACAAAAAAAATTATGTACTACAAAAATATCACATGGTGGAACTAACTCTTTTTAGCAATCATTTGGGTGGTAATCAGACAATTATAAATGGGTCTAGTATCGGAAGTAATCAATTGGATACTATGTTGACTCTAGAGATTGGGTACATGAAAGCACTTGCTATAAAAAAATGAGCTTGA